CAAAAGTTCTGGGATTACAGGCATGAACCACTGTGCCCAGCCGGGAAAAGGTATTATCTTTTTGCCCCAATAATTGCAATGCATTGAAACCCATTAAATACGTTTAAGTCCATGAGTTCATAATGGTATTTCTAAAAAAATTAATTAGTTGCCTTTGGAGGTCACCTTTTGGAGCCAATTCATCTTTAAAATTGATAAATAAATCAAGCATTTACCCAGTTTCTCTATATGAACTATACCATTAGGTAACCAAATAAGGGGAAATGTCCATTTATAAAAGTATTCAAGTAATAAATTAAAAAGAGATGATAAACCTCCATAGTAATGAAATATGATATTAGGGTAAACAGAAACTGGGTGAGGACTATGTGGAAACTCTCTATACTGTCTTTGCAACTTTTCTGTAAATCTAAAATTATCCCAAAATAAAGTTTACTTTAAAAAAAAAAAAAAAGGCTAGGATGGCTATTAAACAAAAGAACATAATAGTAAGTGCTAGCAAAGACATGGAGACACTGAAACCCTCACACTCAGCTAGTGGGAATGTAAAATGGTACAAACACTATGGAAAACAATCTAGCAGTTCTTTAAAGACTAAACATAGTTGGCCGGGCGCGGTGGCTCAAGCCTGTAATCCCAGCACTTTGGGAGGCTGAGACTGGCGGATCACGAGGTCAGGAGATCGAGACCATCCTGGTTAACATGGTGAAACCCCGTCTCTACTAAAAAATACAAAAAACTAGCCGGGCGAGGTGGCGGGCGCCTGTAGTCCCAGCTACTCGGGAGGCGGAGGCAGGAGAATGGCGTGAACCCGGGAGGCGGAGCTTGCAGTAAGCTGAGATCCGGCCACTGCACTCCAGCCTGGGCGGCAGAGCGAGACTCCGTCTCAAAAAAAAAAAAAAAAAAAAAAAAGACTAAACATAGTTACCATATGACCCACAATTCTAACTCCTAAGTATATACCCAAAAGAAATGAAAACATGACCCAGCCATCCCATTACTGGGTATATACCCAAAGGATTATAAATCATGCTGCTATAAAGACACATGCACACGTATGTTTATTGCGGCACTATTCACAATAGCAAAGACTTGGAATCAACCTAAATGTCCATCAGTGACAGACTGGATTAAGAAATGTGGCACATATACACCATGGAATACCATGCAGCCATAAAAAAGGATGAGTTTGTGTCCTTTGTAGGGACATGGATGCAGCTGGAAACCATCATTCTCAGCAAACTATCGCAAGAACAGAAAACCAAACACTGCATGTTCTCACTCATAGGTGGGAATTGAACAATGAGATCACTTGGACTCTGGAAGGGGAACATCACACACCAGGGCCTATTATGGGGAGGGGGGAGGGGGGAGGGATGGCATTGGGAGTTATACCTGATGTAAATGACGAATTGATGGGTGTTGAGGAGTTGATGGGTGCAGCACACCAACATGGCACAAGTATACATATGTAACAAACCTGCACGTTGTGCACATGTACCCTGGAACTTAAAGTATAATAATAAAAAAAAAAGAAAACATATGTCCATATAAAAACAAGTACACAAACGCTCATAGCAGCATTACCCATAATAGCTAAAAAGTAAAAACAACCCAAATGTCCATCAACTAATGAATGGGTAAATAAAAAGAGCTCTAACCATTCAGTGGAATATTATTGAGCCATAAAAAGAAATAAAGTGGGCTGGGCGTGGTGGCTCACGCCTGTAATCCCAGCACTTTGGGAGGCCGAGGCGGGCAGGTCACAAGGTCAGGAGATGAAGACCATCCTGGCTAACACGGTGAAACCCCGTCTCCACTAAAAATACAAAAAGTTAACCAGGCGTGGTGGCGGGCGCCTGTAGTCCCAGCTACTTGGGAGGCTGAGGCAGGAGAATGGTGTGAACCCGGGAGGCGGAGGTTGCAGTGAGCCGAGATCGCGCCACTGCACTCCAGCCTGGGCGACAGAGCGAGACTTCTTCTCTAAAAAAAGAAAAAAAAAAAAAAAAAGAAACAAAGTGCTGGCTGGGCACAGTGGCTCAGGCCTGTAATCCCAGCATTTTGGGAGGCCAAGGTGAGCAGATCACTTGAGGTCAGGAGTTCGAGACCAAATGGCAAAACCCCATCTCTGTTTAAAAAAAAAAAAGAAATGAAGTACTAATACATGCTATGTTAAGTGAAAAAAGCTAGTCCCAAAGGACCATATATTATATAATTCAACTTATATGAAATGTCCAGAATAGGCAAATCCATAGAGAATGAAAGCAGATAGGAGTTTATCTAGGCCTGGAAGGGTTGGGAGGAAATGGAGAGTTAAAATGGGTACAAGGTTTCGTTTTGGGGTGATAAATATGTTACAAAATTACTATGGTTATGGTTGTACAACTCTGTGAATATACTGTAAACCACTTAATTGTACATTTTAAATGGGTAACTTGTATGATATATGAATCATATCTCAAAAAAGCCTAGATTAAACTAAATGGATGCACATTTGGGTGATAAAACTATCTTTAAAATGCAAGGAAATGGCCAGGCCTGGTGGCTCACACCTGTAATTCCAGCACTTTGGGAGGCTGAGGCAGGAGGACCACTTGAGGGCAGGAGTTCGAGACAAGCCTGAGCAACAGAGCGAGACCTGTCTCTATTATTTTAAAAAATGCAAGGAAATGATTGCAATAAAAATCAGTATCGTGGTTGCTTTGTGGGGAAAGGAGCATGTTACAACTGCAGTAGGGCACACAAAGGGTTTTCTGGGGTGGTGGGCAAAATCCTATTTTTTGATCAGGTGGTGGAGCTATCCATTTGTTATGTGAGATATTCTGTGTCTGTGTTTTCTTTTACAGTAAAAAAGTTATCAAAACAGACTCACAAGCAAATTTGTTTCAAACATAACGTGAAGTCTCCTAGAATCCAATCTTACTGTGGGCCAGGCACCAAGTTTGGTTATGTATAATATAAGAGATTATGCCTATCCTCAAGGAACTTAACTTTTAGTGAGAGGTTAATAAAAAAAAAAAAAAGAGCTAGAGAAAGAACTAGCCCATGTTAGATATTAACTGACACAAAATTTACAGACAATGTACTAAAAGATGTAGAATAGGATTGGGGGGCTAGGTAGTATATCAGAAAAGGAATTTAAGCTACATCATGAAAAGAGGGTAAAACTGAGACAGAGAGACCTTTTTTTTTTTTTTTTTTGAGACGGAGTCTCACTCTGTCGCCCAGGCTGGAGTGCTGTGGCCGGATCTCAGCTCACTGCAAACTCCGCCTCCCGGGTTCACGCCATTCTCCTGCCTCAGCCTCCCGAGTAGCTGGGACTATAGACGCCTGCCACCTCGCCCGGCTACTTTTTTGTATTTTTTTTTAGTAGAGACGGGGTTTCACCGTGTTAGTCAGGATGGTCTCGATCTCCTGACCTCGTGATCCGCCCGTCTCGGCCTCCCAAAGTGCTGGGATTACAGGCTTGAGCCACCGCGCCTGGCGAGACAGAGAGATCTTATGCAGGCTACATTATGCCCAGAGGCAAAAAAGAAATGAAGAAAAAAAATTTTTGGACTTTGAGTAAGAGTAGATAATATTTATTGAGCATGTATCAAATCATTTAATCCTCACCACAAACCTACGAAGTGAGTCCTATTACTATTTCCATTTTATAGATGAAGTAACTGAGGTACAGAGACAGTTTGTACAGGGCATCAATGGTAGGTACAGTTGAAAAGGTACCCAGGGGAATGGACTGTGAATCCAGACCACCTGGGTTAGAATCCTAGTTCAGTTCTGCTATTAAGCAGCTATGTGATTTCAGGCAAATTACTTTACCTCTGTGCCTTAGTGTTCTACTATTTAAAATGAGAATGCTAATAGTAGCAACTTCATCACAGGGTTGTTGTAAAGATTAAATTATTTGATGTATATAAAGCATTTAGAACAGTTTCTGGCAAAAAGTAAGTACTCATTAATATTACATATTATTATAACAGAATAATAATTTCTAGGAAAAGCACATGAGAATTATCCTCCTCCATGTATTCCATTAAATCAGGTATTAAATTACATACTTCTATCTCTTTATGTTCAAGATTGATTATTTATATTTTAGGCTGCTGTTTTATGTTAGACCGAGATCATGCTACTTTTGAGGCAATTCTCCTGTTTCAGCCTCCCAAGTAGCTGGGACTACAGGCACACGCCACCACACCTGGTTAATTTTTGCACCTAAAACAGTAGAATTTAAAATTATTTGCCAGTCTTCACAAAGAGGGTACCATTTTTCCAGGAAATGGGAAACTCGGCAGTTCCTACTGCAACACTGGCAGAGTAAGATAAATGATTTCAAATATTTGCAGAATGTCGAGGCTAAAGATAAACAGAAGAGGGAACTCTGCTGAGGGCATGGCACAGCTTAAAGCAAATATAGATACACTCTGAGGGATGTCTGCATAGGTCTTCTGGGGCTGTGTTCATTCAACCCGTGAGAGCTGAGAGAGCGCAGCAGTAGCAGTAGCCAGCAATGCAGGTACCTAAAGAATCTGTTATGTTATCTTTAAAGGTGTCCCTCTTCTTAGCCCCAACCTAGATGCAGAGGGCAGAGTGTGTCAGTATTAGGGGTGACAGATATACAAGAATATACCAAGGGATAAAAGAGATACCTAGGAGGCTGGGCACGGTGACTCACGCCTGTAATCCTAGCACTTTGGGAGGCCGGGGCAGGTAGATCACCTGAGGTCAGGAGTTCGAAACCAGCCTGACCAATATTGTGAAACCCCGTCTCTACTAAAAATACAAAAATTAGCCAGGAGTGGTGGTGTGCGCCTGTAGTCCCAGCTACTCGGGAGGCTGAAATAGGAGAATTACTTGAACCTGGGAGGCAGAGTTTGCAGTGAGCTGAGATTGTACCACTGCGCTCCAGCCTGGGCGACAGAGCAACACTCTGTCTCAAAAAACAAAAAAAAGAAAGATACCTAAGAAAGGCTGACAAGACCCCAAAATATACATACTTTCCATAAGAAGTATCTTTTAATACTAATTCTGGAGCTCTATACCAGCGTGTGGCCACATAGTCCGTATAAATGTCCCCAGGAGCTGCTAGTGTTCGTGCAAAACCAAAATCACAGAGCTTAGTAATTCCTGACTGGGATACTAAAATATTCTCAGGTTTTATATCGCGATGAATGATCTAAAAACAAACAGAATACAAAATACATTAAAATGAGATTTCATTATCCAGAACCTCTCAAAAATTATACTAAGAAAATCTAGCTAATTAAGATAGTAAAGCTATTTCCTTACCACATGCAAAGGATTAATTACACAATGCAAATATAGTTATATGTTTTCAATTCTTGCTCCATCCACCACCTCAAAATAAAATGAAGCTAAAAAAACAGACATAATACTAAAAAGGCAAATCACATTCGTGTAAGAAAAACCAAAAGAACTTAATGAGGCTGGGAGTGGTGGTTCATGCCTGTAAACCTAGTACCTTGGGAGGCCAAGGCAGGAGGATCACTTGAGGCCAGGAGTTTGAGACCAGCCTGTGTAACAGAGTGAAACCCTGTCCCCGCCCCCCAAAAAAAGAAAATAAAGAAAGGAAAAGAACTTATTGAAATTTTACTTTCCTTTAACTCTATGTCCCACTCCAGTTCCGGCCCTTTCATGTCCTTCACAGCTAAACCTCTTGAAGACATTATCTGTACTCACAGTCTTCACTTTCTGACCCAGTCACTCAAGATAGTTAACCTTCTCTTTTGCTCCTACACTGCATTAAACTTCTCTAGCCATAGGAAAAAAGTCATCTACATTTTTCCTACATCCAATAGCCATCTCTCCGCCCATATTTACTTGGTTTCTTAGCGTAAAAACAATGCCAACTGTTCCTCCATTCCTGGTTTCTCGGACCTAAAATGTTCCCAATCTCCGCCTATCTACCTGGCAGCTACTCTTTCTCTGTCTGTTCTAAAACATAGGGTCCTTGTCTTAGGCTTTCCTCTCTTCATATATTGATATATATTGACCAGGATTCCTGGTCAATCTCACATACTCTCTTTTTTGGGGGGTACGGGAGCCACTTTTGTCACTTGGTTATAGCGACAACACTCTTGGGCTTCTCCCCACCTACTGGCTGCTCCATCTGAATCTGATCAACTCTTTTTAAGAAATTATTTTTTAAAGAGATAGGGTCTTGCTCCATTGCCCAGACTAGAGTGCAAAGGCACAATCGAAGCTCACTGCAGCCTCAAACTCCTGGGCTCAAGCAAGGAGCCTACCACCTGAGACAATCCTACCACCTCAATCTCCTGAGTAGCTAGGACTACAAGCGCGTGCCTGTAGTCCTACAGCCTACAGTATTAGGACTACTGGCTAAACATTTTTTTTGTAGAGACAGGGTCTGATTATGTTGCCCAGGCGGATCATGAGTGCTGCGCTGAAGCGATCTTCCCGCCTCAGCCTTCCAAAGCACTAGCATTGTAGGTGTGAGCCACCACACCCGGCCTGAATTACTTTTTAACATTTTGTTAATTTTAATTGATAAATTAAAATTGTATATATTATGTACATGTTGTTTTGAAATATGTATACATTGTAAAATTAGCTAAATCAAGCTAATTAACATTACCTCACATACTTATTTTTTTGGGGCGAGAACACTTAAATTCTACTCTCAGCAATTTTCAAGAATACAATCATTGTTATTAACTAGCTACCATTTTGTATAACAGATCTCTTGAACTTACTCCTTCTTTCTGACTGAATTTTCGTATCTCTTGACCAATATAGCCCCAACCACCTCCACTCTAGCCCGTGGTAACTACCATTCTACGCTCTACTTCTATGAGTTGCACTTTTATAGATTCTGTATGTAATTGAGATCACGCGGTATTTGTCCTGTGTGTGACTTATTTCACTTACTATAACGTCCTCCAGGTTCATCCACATCATCACAAATGACAGGATTTCCTTCTATTTTTACGGCTGAATAGTGCTCCATCGTGTATACATACCGCACTTTCTTTATGCATTCATCCTTAATGGACACTTAGGTTGATTTTTTTTTCCTTTCTTTTTTTTTTTTAGACGGAGTCTTGCTCTGTCACCCAGGCTAGAGTGCACTGGCATGATCTTGGCTCACTGCAACCTCTGCCTCCTGGGTTCAAGCAATTCTCCTGCCTCAGCCTCCTATGTAGCTGGGATTACAGGGACACACCACCACGCCTGGCTAATTTTTGTATTTTTAGTGGAGATGGGGTTTCACCAGGTTATCCGGGCTGGTCTCAAAACTCCTCATCTGAAGTGATTTGCCTGCCTCAGCCTCCCAAAATGCTGGGATTACAGCTGTGAGCCACTGCACCCAGCCTCCTTTGCCCATTTTTTTTTTTTTTTTTATTTTTTAAAGACACAGGGTTTCACCATGTTGCCTGGGCTGGTCTTGAACTCCTGGACTCAAACTATCCTTCCACCTTGGCCTCTCAAAGTGCTGGGATTATAGGCATATGCCACTGCACCTGGTCCTTTGCCCAATTTTTAATCAGGTTATTTGTTTTCTTACTACTGATTTATCTGAGTTCCTTATATATTATATATTAATATATATTATTATTATATATTCCAGATATTAACCTCTTATTAGATGTATGGTTTGCAAGTTCTCTCTTTTTGGGTTCTGTGGGTTCTCTCTTCTTTCTATTGATTGTTTCCTTGGATATGCATACTTTTTTGTTTGATGTAATCCCATTTGTCTATGTTTGCTTCTGTTGTCTGTGCTTTTGGGTTCATATCCACAAAATCATTACCCAGATCCAATGTCATAGAACTTTTCCCAAGTTTTCTTCTAGTAGTTTTACAGTTTCAGATCTTACATTTAAATCTTTAATCTATTTTTAGTTTACATTTGTATAAGATTCATCTACTCTTATAGCTTTAGTAACTGTCCATATACTACTGATAATTTCAACATTTCTATGTCTAACAGATATTTCTCCTGGTTTCCACAAGAAGTGAAAGTCCACAATAAATCCCACAAACTAGGTACAGGTCCTTTAAATTCAGCAAATCTAAAACTAAACACATCTTCTTCTCCCCCAAACCTACTGGTTCTCAACAATCTGCTATTACAGTGAATGGAACCACCACTTACTCCATAAATCAAGCCAGAAACCAAGGGCATTTTTCTCCCTCCCCACACTCCCTTAACCTATCTACCGCTCTTCCTAGTTCAGGTCTCCTCAGCTGTCTCACAAAATTGATACACAAGTCTATCAGTTGGTCTCCCTGAATTCACATTCGTGCTCTCCAATTCAGTCTCCACAATGAAGTCACAGAACTATTTTAAAATCAGATGTGTGATCATGTCATTTTTTTTTTTTTGAGACGGAGTCTCGCTTTGTCACCAGGCTGGAGTGCAGTGGCGCAATCTTGCCTCACTGTAACCCCCGGCTCCCAGGTTCAAGCTATTCTCCTGCCTCAGTCTCCTGAGTAGCTAGGACTACAGGACTACAGGCACGCGCCACAATGCCCAGTTAATTTTTGTATTTTTAGTAAAGATGGGGTTTCACCACGTTGGCCAGAACGGTCTCGGTCTCCTGACCTAGTGATCCGCCCGCCTCGGCCTCCCAAAGTGCTGGGATTACAGGCATGAGCCACCGTGCTAGGCCTGATCATGTCACTTCTCTGCTTCAAGGATTCCTCATCCTGCAGGATATATTTAAAACTCCCTAAAATGGCTTATAAGGCCTTGTGAGATTTGGCCCCTACTTATCCTCTTAACCTCCTTTCCCTAGCCTATAGAATATTAGTTTCCCGATTTGCCAGGGTTTGTCTAATCTCTGTGCATTTGTTGATGCTACTCCAACTGCTTGGCCAAGTCAGCTATTTCCTCAGGACTCAGCTTGTATGTTAGTATTAGATGCTCCTTCTATATGTTCACATCAGTCTGCACTTTCCCCTTCATAGCATCTGTCATGCAGTACTGTTAACTGCCTGTTTACTTGTCTGAAACCCCCACTAAACCATAAGCTCCGTGAGGGCAAGATGCACACCTGTCTTGTTCAATTAATATCCCGTGTTCAGTACAGTGCCTAGAACAAAGAAAGCATTTACAAATTTTATCAAATGAATGACAGAAGAACATACTCATCACCTGTAAAGTATCATAGCAGAAGTAGAAATGTCTCAGTGACAGAAATCTGGGATCTTTCCTTGTTTATACAACTTACTACCATAAATCTTTGAGACTGGCTCTTGTTCTGACTCAATCTCCCTCCATAAATAGCCAAAAAATTAATTTAGTTGGTAAGCCTTTCTAATTGAGCCACTTTAAAGTTGTCATCTGTCAAAATATATAAATCCTTTTTTACTACCACAATTTTCACTGAGTGCCTACTATATGCCAGGCACTATTCCAAGACCTAAGGATATAATGTGAACAAAAAGACATTAAAACGCACATTAAGATACCGCTTCAGGGGCCGGGCATGGTGGCTCACACCTGTAATCCCAGCACTTTGGGAGGCCGATGCAGGTGGATCATGAGGTCAGGAGATCAAGACCATCCTGGCCAACATGGTGAAACCCCGTGTCTACTAAAAGTACAAAAATTAGCCGGGCATAGTGGCATGTGCCTGTAGTCCCAGCTATTCAGGAGGTTGAGGCAGGAGAATTGCCTGAACCCGGGAGGCGGAGGTTGCAGTGAGCTGAGATTGTGCCATTGCACTCCAGCCTGGGTGACAGAAGGAGACTCTGTCTCAAAAAAAAAAAAAAAAAAAAAAAAAAGTCTTTCTCTGATGTACAAAATGAAAACAGCAAAAAAATTTTTTAATTAAAAAATGTCACCGGGCGCAGTGGCTTCACACCTATAATCCCAACACTTTGGGAGGCTGAGGCAGGCAGATCACCTGAGGTCAGGAGTTTGAGACCAACCTGACCAACATGGAGAAATCCCATCTCTACTAAAACTACGAAATCAGCTGGGCCGTGGTGGCACATGCCTGTAATCTCAGCTACTCAGAAGCTGAGGCAGGAGAATTGCTTGAACCCAGGAGGTGGAGGTTGCGGTGAGCCGAGATTTTGCCATTGTACTCTAGCCTAGACAACAAGAGTGAAACTACATCTCAAAAAAAAAAAAAAAATCATCATCTGAAATTTGGAAATATTAAGAAAAGAAAGTTTTAGCAGGGCTTGGGGGCATGCACCAGTAGTCCCAGCTACTCGGGAGCCTTAGTTGGGAGGATTACTTGAACCCAAGAGTTCAAGGCTACAGTGAGCTATGATTGCACCACTGTACTCCAGCCTGGGCAACAGACTGAAACCTCATCTCTTAAAAAATATCTATATACACCAGGCATGGTGGCTCATGCCTGTAATCCCAGCACTTTGGGAGGCCGGGGTGGGAGGATCACTTGAGGTCAGGAGTTCAAGACCACCTGGCCAAAATGGTGAAACCCCATCTCTACTAAAAATACAAAAATTAGCCAGATGTGGTGGCGCACGCCTGTAGTCCCAGTTACTCAGCATGCTGAGGTAGAAGAATCGCTTGAACCCGGGAGGCAAAGGATGCAGTGAGCCAAGATCGCGCCACTGCACTCCAGTCTGGGTGACAGAGTGAGACTCCATCTCAAAAATAAATAAATAAATAAATAATATCTAGTCTGAAGAGCCACTTCACTCATGGCTGCCTTAATTCTCAAAGGTAATTAGCCTTACAACATTCTGTGAGGTAAGGGACAGGGATAATTTTACTCCAGGTTCCAGATAAGAACAAGAGAATAAAAGAATGTGGGTACTTCTGTCTAGGCCTCCTTCTCTGCTGTTCTCCAACACTCCACAGATCTCTTCCATGCTTGGTGATGAGAACTACCTCTTATTTTTTCCTTCCATTTCTGGGAGAATGATCTATTCTTACCTCTTCAACCACAGTCTCTAAGAGGAAGATTCTCAAATCTGTATATTCAGTTCTGAAAACTTCCAAAGTCATGATATAATTGGTTAGCTACTATTTTTACTTAGAAATTCTCACTATCCCTTAAAATCCATCAATATATCTTAATGCAATTCCCACTTCTAAATTCAGTTATTGACAATGGCACTTCTGCTCTCCAATTAAAAATATAGTAATACTACTAAAAATACAAAAATTGTCCATGTCCAGGCATGGTGGTTCATGCCTGTAATCCCAGCACTTTGGGAGGCTAAGGAGGCGGATCATGAGGTCAGGAGTTCAAGATCAGCCTGACCAACATGGTGAAACTCTGTCTCTACTAAAAATACAAAAATTAGCTGGGCATGGTGGCACGCACCTGTAATCCCAGTTACTCGGGAGGCTGAGGCAGGAGAATCGCTTGAATCCAGGAGGCGGAGGTTGCAGTAAGATCACGCCATTGCACTCCAGCCTGGGCGACAGAGCAAGACTCCGTCTCAAACTGAACTGAACTAAACTAAACTAAAAATACAAAAATTAGCTGGGCCTGGTGGCAGGAACCTGTAATCCCAGCTACTCGGGAGGCTGAAGCTGGAAGAAATGCTTGAACCCAGAAGGCAGAAGTTGCAGTGAGCTGAGATCCTGCCATTGTACTCCAGCCTGGGCAACAGAGAGAGACTCCGTCTCGAAAAAAATACTGTAATAACCTCTGATTTCACCCTTTGTTTTCATCTCTCTCATACCTAATTAGTTCCCAAGTCCTGTGATTTTCCTTTTGAAGTATTTCCATCCTATCCCTCTGCCATCCTTCCTCTCCTTCCCATTGCTACTATCTTAGTCCAAACCGTTACCACCCACACATCTAGACTGTCACAACAGTTTCCCGCCTGATCTCTCTGGGTCTCTATCTACTCATATCTTCTACTCTTGTTAAAATAAAATTAGGTTTTGTTTTCATCTAGTCACAGCAATGCTCAAGAACCTTCAATGGGCTGGGTGGGGTGGCATGTGCCTGTAATCCTAGTAACTTGGGAGGCTGAGGCAGGAGGATCGCTTGAGCCCAGAAGTTGGAGGCTGCAGTGAGCTATGATCATGCTATTGCACTCCCATCTGGGCAACAAAGCAAGATCCTGTCTCAAGAAAAACAAACAAAAAACAACAAAATCTGCAATAGTTGCCCAGGATCCTCAGGAAAGAGTCCACCCTCCTGTGGATAAATTTCAAGGTTCTAGAAAATCTCTCCCCTGGGAACCTGTAATCTTATCTTCCTCTACCTGTTGCTCCCTGTAACCTGACTTAACAGCACTCTCTACAGTCCCCCACTCCGGTCTACTTCTATTTTCACAATGGTACCCCACCTGAATGCATTTTCTTCTCTATTCCAACAAAATCCTAACTACAGTTCAAAATCCTACTTATTTCAGTTTTACCTCATCTTGGAAGTTTTCTACTGTCAGTTTAGCCCAGACTAATATCTCCTTTTATTCAAGAAACATTTTTAGAGTCTAATACAGACAACGCTCTAAAAAGATACAAAGATAACACAACTATTCTTGACTCCCTACCAGCTTTCTTTTCCTTCTTTCCTTTTCCTTTTCTTTCCTTAACACAACTATTAATTCTCCTGACTCCAAACCAGCTTGCTATATTTATTTATTTAACTTACTTACTTACAGGATCTTGCTCTGTCAACCAGGATGGAGTGGTGCGATCATAGCTCACTGCAGCCTTGACCTCCCAGGCTCAAACAGTCCTCCCACCTCAGCCTCACAAGTAGCTGGGAGTACAGTATTGTGCCACGATGCCTGATGCCCAGCTAATTTATTTTTTATTTTTAGTAGAGACAATGTCTTGCTATGTTGCCCAGGCTGGGCTTGAACTTTTGAGCTCAAGTTATCCCCCTGCTTCAGCCTCTCAAAATACTGAGATTAGAGGTGTGAGCTACTATGGCCAGCCTACCAGCACTATCTACTGAGCATTTAAAATGGGCCTGACACAGTTTAAATGCTTTATACCTAGTACCTAATTTGATCTTTTAAAAAATCTGTGCCAGGTGCAGTAGCTCACACCTGTAATCCAGCATTTCGGGAGGCTGAGGCAGGCAGATCACTTGAGCCCAGGAGTTTGAGACCAGCCTGGGTAACACGGTGAAATCCCATCTCTACAAAAAATTAGCCAGGTGTGGTGGTTGATAGAGGAGGAGCACCATCATCTTGGACAAACACCGAGATGTTTTAAGGAGAGACGGGAGAACTGCTTGAACCCGGGAGGCAGAGGTTGCGGTGAGCCGAAATCGCACCATTGTACTCCAGCCTGGGCAATAAAAACAAAACATCTCAAAAACCAAACAAACAAACAAAAAACCTGCTGAGCTAAAAGCTTACAAGCCAATGCTAAAGTCAACACTAAAAATCAGAATAGCTGTGATCTTTCCTCTTCCTTGATTTTTCATAGGTTAAATGACAAGGCCTCACACAGCTCAGCCACTTTATATCTCCTTTCTTCCCCTAAAGGCTTCCACATTTACTTGCTATTCCCCTGGCCTAATTTCCAGTTCCCAACGCTAAACTTGCCTTTTTTTTTTTTTTTTTTTTTTTTGAGGCGGAGTCTCGCTAAACCTCCCTTTATATGAGCAACTCTCCATTAAGCCACAGACCTGACTTCCAACGTTTTAATACTTTCTCTAATAATAGTGCCCCAGCTGACTACTGATTCTACTAAACATAATTATTGATACTGCCTTTACTATCCCATACTTGGTCTGCCTTACAGTTGGAATTACTGAGTGCTCAATATTTTTTGGTTCTGCAACCAAAAGGTAGTGCTCCCTATCCCTATCCCCATTTTCAGGATGTCTATTATTATTGCATAAAAAAATACTGTTAGCCACCTTCATAAAAATAAAACAATGTATAAGGAGCACTTATGATTCATATTCATCCTACAAATTGGCTTATTCTGAAGCACTTACATTATTACTGTGAAGATAGTCAATTGCTCGAAGGATCTGGAAGAGGTATTTTCTAAGTCGTTTACTCTCTAGTCCATGACAATAATGTTGTAACTCATCTAATACTGTGTGGTCAATAAATTCAAATACCAAATGAATTTTCTTTTTCTGTCTAAAAACTTCAATCAGATTGACCAGGTTTTCATGATGAAATTGCTATTGACAAAAGAAACAACACAAATTTTTAATTATTTCAAGCCTAACAATTTGTACATATAACATGTATAAATTTTGAAAAGAAACAGGAATATTCTTAGCTTTGTTCCATACATTTCTTTATCTTTTTCTTTTTTTTTTTTTGAGATGGAGTCTTGCTTTGTCGCCAGGCTGGAGTGCAGTGGCACAATCTTGGCTCAGTGCAACCTCCGCCATCCCATTTCAAGCAATCCTCCTGCCTCAGCCTCCTGAACAGCTGAGATTACAAGCGTGCACCACCATGCCCAGCTCATTTTTGTGCTTTTAGTAGAAACAGGGTTTCACCATGTCGGCCAGGCTGGTCTCGAACTCCTGACCTCAACACAGGAGGTCCTGCCTCGGCCTCCTAAACTCCTGGAATTGTAGGTGTGTGCCATCATGCCCAGCCTATGTTCCATGCATTTCAACTGAAATTTCTCAACCAATGTGCTTCCAATCCTATTTTAAGAAAATTTTAATCCATTTTATAATCAATATTTACAGGACAAAGTGAGTTATATTACTTTATCTCAAGTTGGCATTTGGTTGCTTATTAAAATAATTTAATGTACTATAACAGTATTCTCTTGAGAGACATCTGCTATTTTTAAACTTGGTTTGTGGTTAAATTTAACACCCAAAATTTAAAAGGCCCTTATATTTTCAAATGAGCATGGATTTCAACACGATTAAGTATGTGATCTGAATTTATATAAATTAATTAATCTCTAATTTTAATCCTAAACTCTAGAAAGTAAACCATAAGTTCTAGGGGGCATCATAAATTCATTAGACTATAACAAAAGAACATCAAAATATATACAAAATCTTCAGATATGTGAACTACCAATTTATAACCATAGAAACTTTACATAAATATATAATTATTTGTGGGTAAACGTTTTTTCGTTGTCTTTACTCTTCTATTAAACAACTAACCACCTTTTTAGACTGGTAACAATTATTGCTAAAATAATTTTAAAATGTAAATTATGCCCACATATCAGCTTAGGAAACAAATGAGATTTAATATTGTATGCTACTTATTCTATTTTTCATCACAGTGCCTTAATTATAATCAATTCTGAAATATGTAACCATTTTGTTCAAACTATCAAGAATATGTGTTCATTTAGCTAAGAATGAAGGTTTTTTTTTTTTGTTTTTTTTTTTTAAGAGAAAGAATCTTGCTATATTGCCAGGCTGGTCTTGAACTCCTGGCCTCAAGTGATCTTCCTGCCTCAGCTTCCCAAGTTGCTCGGACTACGTGCATGAGCCACTGTTCCTAGCTCTAGAAAACTATACCTTTATGAAAATATATTTGCCTTTATTCCAATAACGCAATGTCAATTTTTCTACTTCTCTGTAACTAATGAAGAGACTAAAGTCCTTAAAACATGACTAGAGAAAAACATCCAAAATATAACACCAGATTCCTTTCCTTTTTGCTCCAAATTTCCCTGGTTGGCAAGATGCCAGAGTGCTGCAGCAATAGCACACTGGCAGCAGTGAAAAGAATTGACTGCTGGCTGGGCATGGTGGTCCACACCCATAATCCCAGCACTTTGGGAGGCTGAGGCGAGCAAATCACGTGAGATCAGGAGTTCGAGACCAGCCTGGGCAACATGGTGAAACCCCCTCTCTACTAAAATTACAAAAATTAGCCGGGCGTGGTGGTGGGCACCTGCAATCCCAGCTACTAGAGAGATTAAGAGAGGAAAATTGCTTGAACCCAGGAGGTGGAGGTTGCAGTAAGCCGAGATCATGCCATCACACTCCAGCCTGGGCGACAAGAGCAAAACTCCGTCTCAAACAAAATAAGAATTGACTGCTTTTGGACACTACAATATTAATCCTCTACTTAAGGAAAATTACTGGTTTCCTGTCCAGTCTTTATTTTAAAGGCAAAAGCAGTGAAAGTAGGGAAAGGGTAATATGAATAAGCATTGTAGAAGATCCATTCAGGGATGAGGGATTAGGTACAGTACTTACTCAGATGAACTGTGAAATGAAATTCCTAGAAATGCTCTAGTACCCCTCTTCAAGTTGTTTTTCTCCATTACTAGACAACTTTTCTACAGATATTCTCACTAATTACCCAAACTGCAATTTATTTAATGAAATTCTAGCACAAAAATTTAGTTTGGGCTGGGCGCAGTGACTCACTTCTATAATCCCAGCACTTTGGGAGGCCAAGGCAGGCGGATCACCTGAGGTTGGGAGTTCAAGACCAGCCTGACCAACATGGAGAAACCCTGTCTCTACTAAAAATACAAAATTAGCCAGCCATGCTGGTCCATGCCTGTAATCCCAGCTACTCGGGAGGCTGAGGCAGGAGAATTGCTTGAACCCAGGAGGCAGAGGCTGCGGTGAGCTGAGATTGCGCCATTGCACTCCAGCCTGGGCAACAAGAGTGAAACTCTGTCTCCAAAAAAAAAAAAGTAATTTGAATTAAGTCATTATGACAAATTTTTTAGACTAAGGATATTAACTAGTCCAAGAAATCTCTCTAGTGGAATTAGATTACATCAAATTTAAAATCCTATAAAAAGCCAATGAGAGCCAGGTGTAGTGGCTCACACCTGTAATCCCAGCACTTTGGGAGGCTGAGGTGGGCGGATCACATTAGGCAAGGAGTTCGAAACCAGCCTGGGCAACATAGCGAAACCCCATCTCTACTAAAAATACAAAAATTAGCCGGGCGTGGTCATACACGCCTGTAATTCCAGCTACTTGGAGGCTGAGGCATGAGAATTGCTTAAACCTGGGAGGCAGAGGTTGCAGTGAGCCAAGATCGTGCCACTGCACTGCAGCCTGGGCGACAGAGTAAGACTGTCTCAAAACAACAACAACAACAATAACAAAAAGCCAATGAGAATAGTTAGGGTATCTCAAAATTATCTGCATAACAGTTGTTACAGTAAAATACATACTCAAGTTCATCTCTGTATTGTCACATACTGGTTAGTTTTACAAAATGATTAAGGAGAAAAAAATAATCAGTTTAATTGCAACAGTTGAAGAGCAAGAGATACTGCCTTGGGGGAAAAAATCTCCTTCTAATCAGATTTTCATTCACAGTACACAACTGCCTTATTTATAGTATTATTACGTTTTAGGTCATCAGGACAGGAACTGATTATCTTTCACAAAATCATAACATCTTTACTGACTAACTTTTCATTGTCTAGAAACAGAGCTGTTCTATTTATTTATTTATTTGTTTGTTTGAGACAGAATCTTGCTCTGCTGCCCAGGCTGGAGTGCAGTGGCGTGGTCTCGGCTCACTGAAACCTCCATCTCCCGGATTCAAGTGATTCTCCTGCCTCAGCCTCTTGTTCAGCTGGGATTACAGGCACCTGCCACCATGGCCGGCTGATTTTTTTTTTTTTTTTTTTTTTTGAGACAGAGTCTTACTCTGTCAGCAGGACTGGAGTGCAGTGGCACTATCTCAGCTCACTGCAACCTCCTTCTCCCGGGTTTAAGCAATTCTCCTACCTCAGCCTCCCAAGTAGCTGGGACTACAGGCGCACACTGCCATGTCCAGCTAATTTTTTGTATTTTAGTAGAGACAGGGTTTCATCGTGTTGCACAGGCTGGTCTCGAACTCCTGAGCTCAGGCAATCTGCCCGCCTCGGCCTCCCAAAGTGCTAGGATTACTGGTGTGAGCCACCGCGCCCAGCATAGAGCCATTCTAACAATCCACACACGCCTAAAATATTTCCACAAATTAGGCCAGGCACAGTGGCTCATGCCTGTAATCCTAGCTGTTTCACAGGTCCAAGACAGGAAGATCGCTTAAGCTGAGAAGATGGAGGCTGCAGTGAGCTATGATCATGCCACTGCGCCACAGCCTGGGCAACAGAGTGAGACTCCATTTCTAAAAAAAAAGAGAAAGTAAGCAAATTGATCCATTATATCTCATAAAGACTTACAAAGAAAGAAGAAAATATTTTTGTATCAGATAAAGACAAACAAGAACATCTGTGGCATATAAAACAGCTATACTATATCGTCAAGATCATAAACCTTAAAGGATATAAATAGATTCGAATAAATAGAATATATACATATTTAAATATTTTTTAAATCGTTAGTTTTCTACCCAGACCCCAAGGAATGTTAATGCTCCTTTCTCCACACTCCTCAGTTGTTTCCTCTGGGTTTAACCATCACACCTACATAGGATTCTATCTTGTTCCCAGATCTCTCCTGACATTGTTCCTCATTTCTAAAAGCCTATTGGTCATCTTTACTTAAATGTACTCCTGTCAGCTCAAATTCAACATTTCTAAAATCAAAGTAGTTCCCAAACCATGTCTCTTTTGAGTCTTTCATATTTCTATCAATTGTAGCAATCACTGAACCTCAAAGAGACCTTTGACTCTTTCTACACTTTTTCTATAGTCTTCTATAGTCTTTCTATAGTCTTCTACACTCTTTCATGTCTTTTTTTTTTTTTTGAGATGGAGTCTCACTCTGTTGCCCAGGTTAGAGTGCACTGGCGTGATCTCGGCTCACTGCAACCTCCACCTTCTAGGTTCGAGCGATTGTCGTGCCTCAGCCTCCTAAGTAGCTGGGATTACAGGGGCGCGACACCATGCCGGGCTAATTTTTTTTTTTTTAATTTTTCGTAGAGACAGGGTTTCACTATGTTGTCCGGGATGGTCTTGAACCCCTGACCTCAGGTGATCCACCCACCTCGGCCTCCCAAAGTGCTGGGACTACAGGCGTGAGCCACTGCACCCGGCCTCATGTCTTTTTTTTTTTTTTTACAATATAGCATGTTCTAACTTTACTTTCCATTCACATTGCTGCATTTTAGCAAGGGCCCTCAAACATTTCCCAAAATTCCTGAATTGAACTCCTAACAGACCTATTTTTACTCTTAGTCCTCCAATCTATTCTGCACAATAGGGGTAGATTAAAATTTACAACATTTCTTTACACTGAATTCAAAACCTTCACTGACTTTCCACCTCTTACAAAATCAAATTTTTGACTCCTTAGCCTAAAAGACTTTAAAATCTACCTCCAATTTACTGTTCTAATATACCTCTTTCCAATTCTGCTCAGAAAACTCTACAGGCAAATGTCTTTGCTCTTTGTCCTTTCCACTTTGCCCTTTATCCTTTGTCCCTCTTTAGTCTCTTTTGAGTTTATGTTGTTCCTCTAACCTAGAACACAACAGCTTCTCCCTCTTATCTAAACCCTCCACATCCTTCAAAGCCAAATTCATGTCCCAGTTCCTCAGAAAAACGTTCCCTACCAGGGAAAGGACTTTGTGTTGATTCCCTGGCATTTATTATGAGCCACTTTTTATTCAGTATGATTTTTTATATACTCTCCTGATTAAATTATAGAAGTCTTCAAGGGCAGGAACTATCTTTCACCTCCTTATATTCTCAGTACCTAGCACCATGCCTTGCACAAAGCAGAAATTTTTATTATTATACTTGAATATTTCTGAATAATTATTAAACAATATTGGCATAGCTTTTGTTACATACCCCAAAACACATATATCTTGTATCACTATAAAATTACAAAAGGTAGACAAGATAGCGTATTACACTTGTTTCTACATAATATGAATCAGTACGTGTGTGAATTAAAATATTTTTATGCAATTTTTTATTCCATAACAATTTTTCTTTTGACTTAGATGATTAAGGCAAAAGAAGCAAACCTTTAGAAACTTTATTTCTCTCATCGCAATTTTGTTGACAGATTGTTCTGGTCTCTCATAAAATATCTTAATGGCCACTATCTGCCCAGTATTCTTATGTTTACATTTCATGACTGTTCCGTAACTTCCCTCTCCCACTTTTCCAAGGGTTTCATACATCTCCATTTTCAAGCTGGGCTTTTACTACTTTATAGAAATAAAGAAAGAAAATGGAAAATGTTAAACGTTTATACTTTTATTTATTCAAACTAGATAATGCATATCCACAATAAACTCATAGTTTAAAATATAGAGACATTTAAAAAAAAAAAAATAGGAATCTTTTCCACTGAGCCTTTCTGTCTTTGGGAACCAAAGACTGCTTGAGTAAAGTGTCCTTCTGAGGCTCCAACTCTCACCAGAACTTACGGGTACTCCTGCTGTTCCGGTCATGCCCATCAACACTGAGATTACTTCACTATAAGTCACCATCCATCAAGCATGGAGTCCCCACACTTCCTGTCATATTCCTGTCAAATAATAGGTTCCCGCACTACTGCAGTCGCCCGCTTATCAGGCCCAAGGTCCTAAAAAAAGCCTGGTCCCGCCCGCAACTCAAACCAGACGTCTTAGGATGCCGGACCGGCGTCACGCCCCACGTCCCGCTGTCGACTTTATCCAAAGAGCCGCCGCCGCCTCAGCCCATTCTGTGGTCCCGCTGGCCTGGCTCTGCGTAGTTCCAGTGGGGCTACGGAACACTGATACTACTTCGTTGCTTAGCCCCGCAAAGATCAGGCCACTCGCTACCATGGAAACGCCAGCAGAGTGGCTGCGTTCTAGCCCTCGTGCGCAAGACCGGAACATGGGCAGGGTCCTGACCCGGAAGGGGAAGTGAGAAGAAACGGAAACCTGCTCTGGGTAGGCAGAGGGTGGAAGAGTGCTGCGCTTGGGAATGGGGGAGGGGAGTACAGCTCGCTGTCACAGCTGAGCCTCCTCACAACGTTGCTTTTGAATGGGGATAGGGAGGGTCTGCCTTTTTATGTTGTTTGCTTTTTTGAGATAGTTGTGCAGTGGCGCCGATCTCGGCTCACTGCAACCTCCTTCTCCCGGGTTCAAGTGACTTTCCTGCCTCATCCTCCCGAGAAGCTGGGATTACAGGCGTGCGCCACCACGCCCGGCTTTGTATATTTAGTAGAGACCGGGTTTCTACTATGTTGGCCAGGCTGGTCTCGAATTCCTGACCTCAGGTGATCCGCCTGCCTCAGGCTTCCAAAGTGCTGGGATTACACGCGTAAGCCACCGCGCCCGGTCAAGATGGTTCTTAAAAACTTTTCTTGAACACCTGCCATATGCCTTTAAATTTTTTCCAACTGCTAGTAATGTTTTTTAAAGGAAAAAACCTCCCTCACCACGTGTCAAACTCTAGGAAGGCAAGTAATTCGAAGGGTTCCACCATATACGAAATGATGTACAAGAGCGCAGAAATAAAGAGGACAGTGTCTAACTGCTTAAGTAGACATAGAGTTCAGCTGGAGTGACAGTCCCTAATGAATAACCACCGTATCACTAGAGCAAGTGCCTAGGGAGTGCTTTCTTTATTGAATAGGGCTTTCTTTGCTTTTTTTCTATAAAATGAGTTAAATGTAAAAAGCGAAATCTCGCCATGCTTCCACTAAATAAGAGGAAAGGCATTACTTAATAAATTCTAGTCCGGTGGGTCCCGCCCCAGCATGCATATTTAAATCACACCTGGAGAGCTTTTAGAAAGCAACTCCCAACCCCCACATCCACACCCCCGCCCCAACACCAGAGAGCCTGATTTAATTGAGATAGGGTAAATAAATTAGTATGTTTGAAGCTTCTCAAGTTTTCTATGCTGCTACGGTTTATATTGAGAGAAAGGAGAAGTGGTCATCGTTTTCACTGATCACCTAAAATATTCAGAATTGTCTTTTATTTGAAAGTTATTCCGCAGGACGCGGTGGCTCACGCCTGTAATCTGAACACTGTGGGAAGCCGAGACGGGCGGATCACGAGGTCAAGAGATGGAGACCATCCTGGCTAACACGGTGAAACCCTGTCTCTACTAAAAAATACAAAAAATTAGCCGGGCGTGGTGGCGGGCGCCTGTAGTCCCAGCTACTCAGGAGGCTGAGGCAGGAGAATGGTGTGAATCCGGGAGGCGGAGCTTGCAGTGAGCGGAGATCGCCCCACTGCACTCCAGCCTGGGTGACAGTGAGACTCCGTCTCAAAAAAAAAAAAAAAAAAAAGAAAGTTATTCAACCACAATATAAAACACCTTCTATAAATAAGAATGTCATAATAAATCTTATAGTGGGTTCAAACTTCATGTAAGCATATTATTTGCTGTGGGCTAAATATTTGCAAGGATGCTTCGCACAGTGGCTCACACCTGTAATCCGAGGGAGGCCAAGGTGGGCAAATCACTTGAGCCCAGGAGTTCCAGACCAGCCTGAGCAACAGGGCAAAACCCCGTCTCTACAAAAAATTAGCTGGGCGTGGTGGTGCACACCTGTGGTCCCAGATACTTGGGCAACTGAAGGAGAATTGCTTGAGCCTGGAAGGTCAAGGCTGCAGTGAGCCCTCTTCACACCACTGCACTCCAGCCTGGGTGACAGAGCAAGACTCTGTCTCAAAAAATAAAAAAAACATTGCCCAGGACAAAGATGAACCAAACTCAGTCCCTGCCCTCAATGAACTCATAATCCAGAGCTACAGAATTGATAACAGCATACAATTAATAGCTTTAAAATTATTCCTTCTACAAGTAGGTTATGGCAGGCCTGGTTAACCAGAACAGCCAGTGATTCTTGCTAATACACAGCTGTAAGACTTTATGATGCACATTCACTGAATTAGTTAAAAGTGTTAATTCATTTTGGAAAATTTAAACTGTTTCCGAAACAATTATAAATCCCTGTAGTCACGGAATTCCTAACCTCCATTGCCTCCAGTTCCCATCTTTAGGACTTTGTTGGTGCGTCAGGAGGACTCAGCACTTTTGTATCCATTCTTCAGCTCAACGGGGAAAGGGAGGTAGGAGGACCTCAGCATTGCCCTAATCTTGCCCATAGTTCCATGGAACCAGAAAGGGTTAACTTTTCCCACTCCTTGTACCTCCCTTTTTTCAAACCCTGAATTCTGTCTCTGCTTTCAGTGACTGCCTAGACTGATAAATTATAAGGGTTTTTTGGTTGTTGCAGGGTTTGAGACAGGGTCTCAGTGGCATGATGATGGCTTACTGCAGCTCAAGCGATTCTTCTGCCTCAGCCTCCTGAGTTGCTGGGGCTACTCGTGTGCACAGAGACAGGATCTCCTATGTTGCCCAGGCTGGTCTTCAACTCCTGGCCTCCCAAAGTGTTAGGATTACAGGCATGAGCTAATGCCCCAGCCCATGAGGGATATTTTTAAGATATAGTTTCTATTTACCATTTTTCTCCATGTAACCCTACCTGTGTGTCTTCCTCCTTTGCTATTGGAAGGGTTAGGACTGCAATGGCAGAAAAGCAAAAACATTAAGAATATTCAGCTTTTAACTTAGAAAACACATTGTGAATGTCTAACAGGACCTATCAAGAGTTAGGCCTGGCTAACTTGATCACTAAGGCAGTCACTGGAAGCTGAGAGAATTCAGGGTTTGAAGAAAGAGGTACAAGGAAAGTCAGAAAAGTTAACTCTGCTTCCATAGAACTAGGGGCAAGGTTGAGGCAATGCTAAGGTCCTCATTCCACCCTCCCTTTACCTGTTGAACTGAACAATTCCCCAAATGGATACAAAAGTACTCAGAGTCCTTAGTATAACAAAGTCCTGAAAGTAGGAATTAGAAGCAATAGAGGGAAGGACAGTAACTACAAAAAATATTCAAGGTCTGTGGGAGGTCAACACCTCTGAACCCCCTGGTGGTGGGGGGGCACTTCTCGCCCATTTGCACCTTTCTTGCTAGTGTAAAAAACCTGAAGTTGTCTCAGGCTGGATAGATAACCCTCACTCAGGTCTGCTGGAGCTCTCCCCCAGATATGAATCATATTTGTAGGTTTCTTTGACAACCAACCACTCATTGATACGCTTGGAAGACTGCACCCCCACATTCTTAAAAATACAATGGTACTCCCCCCCATAGGCAAGTCCCCGGACTCTAACACATATCTTCAATTGAAAGCAGACCCAGAACGGAAAAACTGCATAATACACCATCTTTTAATGTTTGCCCAGAATTTCCAATACTAGAAACCCCACTGCAAAGCAGAAAGACTATTTGGTAGCTTCAAGGAACCATTTCAGGAGATTGTTGTGTGGCCCTCAGTATTCAATGCTGCCTTAGAAGATCTTGCGATCCTCTCTCTTCTTGCCCCAAGTACCAGAGTTCATAAGCCACTGAACCAACCAGAGGGGAGTTATTTTTGGTCCCGGTTTAAAGAAAACAAAACAAGCTGTTGATCCTCCCACGACCTCTTGGGTAATGTCTCTATACCTGTGATAAACCGAAAACAACTAATAAAGGTGTATCCAGCCCTCATCCTCTTAGACCCGCTTCACAGACCTGGCCGAAACTCACATCCAGGCGAGGCTCTCACGTGACCCGTTCTAAACGCGTCACAGGGACACGTGGTTCTAGATACTTCTCCCCCTCCCCCTCAGGGGTGGATTGTTGACAAGGCCGCGGGCAGTCACGTGATCTTACTTACATCATCCCACCTCCTTTCCCTGAAATCTCTGGCCCGGATACGTCCCTCTTTCTCCACCCCGCCGAGCCTAAACTAGAGACGGGGAGGCAGACAGGATAGTGTGTCGGTTTCCTGGTCTCTGAATTCACAACCTCTAGTCTGAACACAGAGAACACAAATTTGTCGATCACTTCAGGAAGCCCAGGAAGAACCATGCCCCGCTGAAGGGCTCAGGGAACGCGCGCTCCCCCGTCCCCCCCCTCCTCCCCCAGCACTCACTCTGTGGTAGCGGCGGAGGGCGGAGGGATCCGAAGGCGGCGGAGGGAGACGTCATTGCAGGGTTGTTTGTCAGTCTCGGCGGCGGCAGCGGCGGCGGCAGCGGCGATCCACAGTGATTCGGCCGCCGCGCCGGGGGGTGGGGGGGCTGCGCGGGACTCTTTTCTTTCAGACTGACCGCGGGGCAGCTGCGGAGCATGTCGACCCCGGCCCGGAGGAGGCTTATGCGGGATTTCAAGCGGTAAGGTCCTTCAGCTTCGCATAGATGACGGCCCCTCAAAGCTGCGGGGCTGCAGGGCGTGGATCCCGGACACCTTCCCCTTGTGACCCTCAGAGGGCCGGCTGTGGGCCCAGCAGGACTGGCGGAAGCCGGGTCCTACCTCGGCCCCTACTCTCCTTATCCTTGCCGCTCGCTCTGGCGCCCGAAGAAATTTCGATACTGCTTCCCCTCCCCCCAAAAAGTAAAACGATGTCGATCGACTGGTCTAGGGTTCCCTGCTGCCCATTTCGGCCAGCTGCCCGGGGTCTCGTCCAGGGGATCAGACATCATCCACCCGCCCCTGCACCCTGCGGCGCCCCTTTCTTGTCCCCTCAAAGTGAGCTCCCGCGGGAGCTTGTTCTTCTCCGGCAGCACCAGTCAGCTTTGTTTCACGGTCCCTCAGTCTTCTCCGAGGAGCCGGGTTGGGGTGAACCTCCCCAGCCCCCCACCCCCGCCAGTCCTTTCCATTTCTGCGGTGAGGGTGGGGTCCAGTGCGTGAGGCTCGGAGGTTAACCCATCCCCCGAAACCCGACTCTGTCCCCGCCCGCCTGAAAGGACCTTGGGAACTGACTTAGAGATCTGGGACCTTAGAGCTGGCCACCCCGGCTGCCAGTGACTTCTGGAACTCAGATCTGGCTGGTGAAGAAAGCCCTATCTATAGCCTCCCGAGTCTGGAAAAATGCCTTCCCTTAGACTGGCGCTAATTTGATACTCCCTGGGCCTCCTTTGGTAAATAGGGTTTTGTTAGGAGGTATTGGGGTTGTGAGGAAGAAAATGATTATTCCGTTAGTTTACCTTTTATTGGATACTTAGAGATGTAGAAAAAATAAGTGAGAAAACATTTTGATATTCTGCACATTTTTCTTAAAATTTTTTCTGGGGACACCTACCCTAATTGAACAAAATAGCATAAAAACATAGATTTGTCGCTCAGGAAGTCACCTCTCAGCTATTATAAAGCCTATGTGAGGCATTTGGATTTGGCCAACTTATTTAATTCATTCGTAGCTTCTCTGAGCCATTTAAAGGTAGGCGTCAAGCAGTGCAGTTCTTCTAAGGCTTCTGTTTGTGGTGGCCTAATTTGCTTGAGATTGACTAAAAACCATTTTTTTTATGTGGACTAGTTGCAAATTATGATGCCCCATGAAAACAACTCCATATGTATTTGTGTGTGTGTATAATGTAGCATTTTTAATTGAGGTTACAGTCTCTGAAAGGAGATGCCCTTTTTGGTGCAAAAGTCATTTTTCTAAAGCTTGAAATCAGTGTATCTGATTAGCACTCATGACTAAAATTCAAATAGTAAACTAGTTCATGTCATTGTCGCCCTGACTCCTTACTGTAATGCTCTGCTTAATTCTGAGTTGAATACATGGCACCTTTTGTAGTTTTCCAGAGATCTGCAGGTTACAAGAATTTGACTATGACGAATGTTGGAAAGCCTTGTATTGAGTCTCCTGATTTGAGAGGTAGATTTTATGTTAGTGCAGAGCCTTTAAAATAGGGACTGGCGGAAAACCTACTGATTACTTTTTAAAGCCATTGCTGTTTGAAGCAAAAGGGATAGAGTAAATCTGCTGCCTAATACTAGTTTCCTGGTTACATTTAATGTGTTTTCAGTCATTTCGTGTTTACACTGAGGTTTGCTTTTTTTTTTTTCTTGTAGCCATTTTGCAGAAGTAGCCGTGGTTAGGATACACAGTCTTTGCATGTTTAGAGCAGCAAAATCAATGGTTCTGTAAAAATATCACTTGCTTTTGAGGTTTTAAACTTTTTTTGGTATAAGAGGACAGTCTATATACATAAATTCTTGAAGAGATAATCTTGATAATATTGAAAGA